CATAGGGGCCATAGCAGTTCCTTTTTGTGGCTTATATTTAGGGTCCTATTCGGTAATTTCAAAAAGGAACTACTATGAATGGGTAGGATTCAGGGCTTGGGGCTTAGGGTTTGGGGTTTTGGGGTTCAGGGCTTAGGGTTTAGGGCTTTGCGGCTTGGGGGTTTAGGGTTTACGGGTTTGGGTTTAGGGGTTTGGGGTGTAGGGGTTTACAGGCTTGGGTTTTTGGGGGTTAGGGGTTCAGGAGTTGTGAAGGTCTGATAGCGTTGCAGGGTTGGGGCATTGGGAATGCGAATGTTGGGACTGACCACAACTAGCCGGTGTACAGAAGCTCCACATGCAGTCTGTTCTAGGCCTGAGACCGTACACTGTACTTGTACTAGTACTATCATTGTTAACAAATATAATATCAATATTGCTGTTCCTGTCCGTACTGTTACCGCTACTATTGTGATTATACATCATTAATGGGTATCTTGGCCATGGCAGGTCCCGCAAAACCCACCGACTCCTACCTGGACCTCTACTGCGGCCATGGTCGCCACAGAGCCATCGTCCAGGATGGCAGCAAAAGCATTGTATGTGGCCTGGATCTGCTGGACGTTCTTCCTTGAATGCTTTCCTAGAGGGTCCAAGTACCCAAATAGTAAGGTTTTAGTAGGACTCAAAAAGCACATAAGCAAAAACTAGGATAGGGATTCCCATATAAACCCCCTTATAATGAAGCCCAATAAGGTGGGGACATCCCTATAACATGCTTATGCTTATGTCCTTTTGGGGTTCCTAGCTTAAGTCCCAAAATCCATGCTCTTAAAGGTTTTTGGACCTTGGAACCCTACTATTTGGGTACTAGGGTTTGGGTTAGGCTTTGGAGCTCCGGGCAAAACTGCGTGGGTTTCCAGGTTGGGTTTCCGCACTGCTTCTTAACAGCTACATAAAATGGACGGGAAATAAACCCTAAGCTTACCCATAAGCCCCATAGTAGTATTTTTTGGGGGTTCATATTTAGAATCCTATAAGGTCATCTCAAAAAGGAACTACTGTGGGGCCTATGGGTAACCCTAAACCCCAATCCCGAAACAGAAAACCCTAAAGTTGCTCTCTGAAACATGCACCAGCTTCAGGTCGTCTGGCACAGGTTGCGAGAAAAAGCCGGTGGTGCCCCAGGTGACGACGGACCCATCACCTTGCTTGGTCTGTGTAGGGGTTTGGGTTTAGGGCTTAGGGGCCAGGGCCCCTAAACCGTAATCCCTAGCTAAACCCTATGCCCTAAACCCGACATGTTAAACCCTAAACCCAACGCCCTAAACCCTAAACCCTAAACCCGAAACCCTAAACCCCTAAACCCTAAACCCAAAGCCCTCAACCCTAAACCCTCACTCAGGCTTTGGGGAACCTCTTTGCTGCTCCCTGCATCTTCAGGAGCTTACAGCCGCCGTCGCCCCACATGCAACATCCTACATACCTGTTGCAGGGGCCTAAATGCTTAGAATATGGTTTTGGGGTTTATACACTACAATAAATCTATTAAGAGATCCCCAAGTATTAGCGATGGTTTAAAGGCGCCTTCATTACACTCCGAAACTCCTAGCCAAGACCAAGAACCACGAAAAGCCTCATATTGGGGGGCCTTCATGATTGGAGCAAGGAATCATACCTGTAGCTATTCGGACCCCTAGATTAACTAACCACCCTAGACCCCGATTGTCGAAGCTTCAAGATATCGCAGGTGCGTCGCCAAGAATTGCAGCGAACGCATCGCCACTGGCTTGAATCTGCTGCACGTCCTTCAGCTTGTGCTGAACAGCACTGCAGTCGCCACCTGAGCTCGCCTGGGTCTCTGTCTCGAGGCTTCGGGAGGTTCGGGTTTGGGGCAAAAGGTGCTGGGATACTCTACGTCATGCTATAACTTCAAAAAGAACTCCCAGCTATATCACATTCATCATGCCCTGAACCTAAAGCCTACCCTCAACCCTAAGCCCCAAAAGCTGTTGGGGATTGTCTTGGAGGATCGGGCCGGCAATTAGGTGGTCCTAGACAGAGTTGCCGTCTTTGTCCCAGCCCCGGGCAAGGGCCGACTATTCTCCAATGCTAACGCTTTCGGCAACTCTTATGAAGGACTAGGGTTTAGGGTCTAGGGTTTAGCTAGGCTAGGCTAGCTGCTACCACGATCGGAGTCAACCTTCAGGGCAGAGTGCAGTAGAACATTGATTAGGGCTTGGGCAAGCTGTATTTGATGGATCTTGAAATCTTTGGAGCAAGCTTTAGACAACGGCCAAGTGAGGACACGTGGCATCACCCCAGGCGACCACCGATCTATCGGCAAGGATAGCCGCGAAGGCCATTCCGGTAGCCTGAATGTGCTGCACGCCACAGAGACGAGGCTGCACAGAGTTGCAATCGCCACCACCTTAGGCCACCGGCTTCTGAAGCAAGGTCGTAGAACTGAATTAGCATATCCAGTTTCCTGTATATCATGATATGTGTTCTTGAAGGGTACTGTGAATTAGCGAATTGTTTCGTAATTGCAGGGTATGGTGTCGATCTGAACTGCAGAAAAGGGCTCCTCGGCCCTCAAGCCCTGAATCCACTTCCCTTGGTCCTTGATTTACGGGTATGGTTTAGGGTTTAAGGTTTCGGCATACAGGTCGAGGTCCCCGCTTGAATTTTTAGTTGCACGAGTTTGAGTCTCGAAAAGCCTGAACACCAAAACGGCTCTGCGTTCAAAGTCGAAGCCCACGTATGCATGTATACACTGTACGTAATAACAGTTGCATTGCTATTAATAACGTCATTAATAACGGTGCCAATAAATATTACTAACAGTACAAAAAATGAGACTAATAGCAAGAACCATAGTACTGGCAAAATAATCATAAACACGAAAACAACAATAACAACAATAACAATACCGATCCCGTAGCAACAATAACGACACCAAGGACAATTACAATAATAACTATAGTAGGGGTAATTTGCTATATCACCAACAATAGTGGCATTAATCATAATCATTGTAGGAACAGTGCAAACAACAATAACAAACACTGCCGTCAAACAAGCGATAACAGTAACAAGAAGAATAATGAAAAAGAAGCATACATGACTAGAAGCAAAATCATTACAAGAACAATATTAAATGCATCAGCAAACAATAACGCCAAACACACGATGAACTTAATGCTAATCCCCAAGGGTCCAAGTACCCATTATTTATGGACTTTGGAGCCTTTCTGGGTACCCAAAACCATAAATAAGGACAACTTGGACTCTTAGGGAATAGTAACAAGAATAAGAAGAAGCCTTTTATTACTAATCACCACCATCAAAAGAGTCATAAACACCATAACCATCACCAGCATCAGAATAATAGTAATGACCATAATGACAACACAAATCAGACTAATAGCAATGTGGATGATCATAGCAATGATAACAAGAATAACAATAACAATACGCAGTGCTAACATCACAAAAATAGCACTAGTTTATATTGAAATATTTTGGTGATATAAAATATGATATGTCAAATTGAATACACACTATAATACAATACATTGTCATTGTTTAATGCCTAACATAATATATAACATGAAAATTGAACCAACACATACGTAATTCACAATGTGATATTATATAAATACACATATAGAGCTGTATATATATATATATACACATACATACATATGTATGTATGTCAGACTGCAATTTCATTTCTAAAACACAGAAATCACATCTTATGTATAGACACACGTATTATACATTTCATAAAACATAAACCATGATATATCGTATACAACCGTCAAAAACAATCGTATACATGTACACATATGTGCACCTCTCTCTCTCTCTCCCTATATATATATGTCCATCATGTAACTCTATATATATATATATATACAGATATGACAGCGACAGTAGTGTGTGTATACATACATATATATATATATATGCAGACACCATTATTATTTCTCGTGCTTTGCATTTTGTGTATCATCGTTCTTGTTACAGTATGTTGAACTACAGCCTAAACCCTCAACCCTAAACTGGGTTGGCCTTTAAACCCTTTGAAAAGTATTTATAGAAAGGGTCCCTTTTAAACCCGACTAGGGAAAATAAAAAATGTCCCAAAAACCAACCTAGTAAACTTGCCATGGAGCCAAGCAGCACCACGGAGCTCCCCAGGTCACTACCGATCCATCCCTTCGGAGGGCTGCAAAAGCACCGCCAGAGGCTTGGATCTTCTCCACACTCCTGGGTTGGGTTTAGGGTTTAGGGTTTAGGGTTCTTTAAGGGATGTAGGGGGTTCAGATTTTAGCCTTTAGGTTTTAGGGGGTTGCGGCTTTTGGAATAGGGTAAAAGCTGACCTGCTAGATTGTGTAGGGTCACCCTACCCCAAAAAAGCCTTAAAAGCACCCGCAGAACAACTCAGATTCTTCAGCTGGTCATGAACACTGCTGCTGTCCCCGCCAGCAGCTGCATCACCCCAGGTGACCACAGATCCGTCATTCAGAAGTGCGGCAAATGATGCGTTCGATGCTTGGATGTGCTCTACTTTCTGCAGCTTGTGCTGGACAGCGCTGCTATCACCCCCACAGCGCTTGTCACCCCAGGTCACGACGGAGCTATCGGCGAGAAGAACTGCAAAAGCACTCTGTGAGCCTTGAATCTTCCGAACGTTCTTCAGCTGATCTGTAAGAAAGCTACAGTCGCCTCCGCTCTCGGCTTCCCCCCAGGCTACTAACGATCCGTCGCTCAAGATGGAAGCTGCAGCTGGTAGACCTCGTGACATGAAAACCTCGATCTGCCCCATATGAAATGTCAATACATCACCTTAGTTGCTGTTTCATGGGTAGTTATAAGTGGGGTTATGAGTAGGGTAGCTAATTATAGTTATAACCCATATTAGCGGACTTATAACCCTACTTATAACTACCCATGAACCTCCAAGTAGTTGCTGAGTTTCATAAGCCCCCAAAAGTGTACACTTTCAGTTCTATAAGGGATCATCTTATCCCAAAAAGGGCAAAGTGTGTACTCACTCAGCTACTAAGCCACCATCCTTCAGACAGCAATCCTCGACAGTTGATGCTCCATGTAGCATCTTCCCTTCAGCATTCAGAAAACTGCCCCTCCTTGAAGCCAGCGCAACCTGTGCGCGATCGCTCAAGGACTGTAGTGACTCTCCCAGCTCAGCATCCAAGCAAATGGTTCTTCCACTTAGCAGGCTAACCTGGAGAGATATGGACATGGGCGATGGATTTGGATCCAGAGACTTGGTCAGCGTCGGTTCTAGCCTACTCTAGCTTGGCCGAAGATACGTATAACCAGGCCTACGTATGTAAAGTTACCCTTACTTACTGTGATTGTACCTCGACACACTCCTCTTGTTCTATCTGGGCTTTGAAGTAACCAGGGAGAAAAAAGTATAGACTTTTTTCATACTGGTTGCTTTAAGGAACAGGTCCCAAAAAAAAAGTATGAAAGTATGGTACTCCAAAGCCCAGCTATACTATAGGTTCGCCGTTTAAAGCCTCGGAAAACACTCGTAAGTTAGATCCTCTTCAGCCCAATGAGGGAAGATGCACATCATCCGCAAGGCCTACCTGGCATATCAGAACCCTAAACCCTAAACCCCTAAACCCCTAAACCCTAAACCCTAAACCCCTAAACCCCTAAACCCCTAAACCCCTAAACCCCTAAACCCCTAAACCCTTAAACCCTTAAACCCTGGCATATCAAAACTCGAACCGTGGGACCTCAAAGCTGAGAACAACATCGATGAAACCCCAGGCATGTTTTGCGTCCCCTAAGGCCCGAATGTAGGGACCTGAATACATAGAATAGGGTTTGGGCTCCTTTAGGGTTTAGGGTTTAGGGTTTAGGGTCCGGGCTCCTTTAATTTATAGTATAGATATAGCAACGAACCCCCCCAAGATAATGTTGGCAAATCTTTGGGATCTTATATGACTCATGCCGCAGCCCTAGTGGCTTGAGCCGAAGATGCAGCAGATATGGGTAGTTCTCTGAATTAGGGTTTAGGATTAAGGGTACAGTTTAGGGTTTAGGGTTTAGGGTACGGTTTAGGGTTTAGGGTTTAAAGGGTTTAGGGTACGGTTTAGGGTTTAGGGTTTAGGGCCCTGCAAAAGGACCCCTATTTGGAGAACGGTCCTTTTTTATAAGGTTGCCGTACTATTTGAGGGACCGAAAAAGCCACCCTACTTTACCGAACCACGCATATGTTGAGGCTAGAGCTATTATAGCCCTCAGGGTCCAGATACCCAAATTGGCCCCAAAGTACCTACGTAGGGACTACTTTAAGGCCAACGCATATACCATTTGGGTAACTACACGGACCCTTAGGCTAGGGTTCCACGAGCCTTCTTTTAAGCTTATGCCCAAGGCAGGGCACATTGTCGCACGTTGGTGCTGCAGGTGGCGGTGGCTTTCAACCTACAAGTACCCGCATCGTTGGGCCATGGGGACATCACGCGGAGGAATAGGTATTCTGCAGGAAAACAAACAATCTGGGAAAGGATCCTCTCTTGGCGCATGGCTTTCCGTAGCTACCTCGCAGCTTGTCTGGGTTCAAGATCTTGTACCTGGCTCGCAGGATTTGGCTGAACAACAAAGTCAACCTTACTGTTCTGTTCAGGGTTTGGAGTTCACCGACACCCAACATGCTGAAATATCCTAGGTTCCCTACAGGCAGTCTAAACCGGCAACGCCTCAACCTAAACCCTAAACCCTAAACCCTAAACCGTTGGACACGGCAAGTTGGTCGACCTTCATGAATCAAGGCCAAAAAGATCAGTCAGCCCCGGCTCTGCACCCTAAACCCCACCCGGAGCACTAGGACCGAACACCCAAGCCCCTCCATCCCTGAACTTTTGAAACGTGCTGAAGCTCGCTCGCCCCCTAAGGTTCCAAAGGACCTAATAATCATGTCCTTAGGTTTGGGATAGTAGTTTTGTAGGTTAGTATTCAGAAGAGTATATGATCATTAGGTACTTGGACCCTTAGGGGCCCTGAGACAGCTATCTTTATCCTCATCCTGATTTCAAAGCCAATGACGGTGAAAAGCGCTAACCCACTAGATCCGAACCCCCCGGGCCCCATGTGATCCGGCTGAATCACGAAACCTCTCGGCCATTTTCCAAGCCAGAGGGTTGGGTTTTACCGTTTGGGTTGGGGATGCTTTGGGGTTTACTGTACGTCTATGCACTCTATGGGGTCCCTAAACCCCGAAACCCTAAACGGCAAACCCCAACCCGTAAACCCCAAACCCTAAAACCTAAACCCTAAACCCTATAAGTCTAAGCCCGGGGCCCTTGGGATTTTAGTGTTGTGCGCCCCTGATCCCAAGACTCCAGCACCTGGATGTTCATGGGTAGATATAAGTATATATAGTTCAGGGTTTAGCGTTTAGGGTTCAGGGATATAAGTCCCGTCATATGCTTTAGAAATCGAGCTCTCCTACTTATATACACACACTAAACCTCGCCTCTGAAACCTCAACTTCAAGGAATCACTGCAGAAACCTTGAAATAGCAACCGACAATGGGAACCCTACACCTTAAGCCTTGAAAGGAACCCTTACGGGGTCCTCAACCCCACTAAAACCCAGTATGCCTCCCTCCCTCCCGCCCTCCCTTTTCTCTTCCTCCCGTCCTCCCGTCCTCCCTCCCTCCCTCCCTCCC